CAATAAACTCGGAACCTGTGACTGGGTGAAGAGAATCCGTGGCTTTCGCCGAGTTTGCTGAGAACGAAGATGTATGGATAAATCGGAATCCACGGTGCAGCTATCGCGACCAGTGCTCATATCCGATCGGGGATCATTCGTCATATCTGTACAGTTTACTCTCGATCAGTTTCGCTTCTTGTCTGTGTATTTGTTCGCATTTACCGCTCTGCTGCTTAACGTTTAAAAGAAAGTGGCAATAAAGTGTTTCCAAGCATTTCTTAGGAAAGCAGCGCAGCTGATGAAAAAAGCACGGTTTACTTACTAAAATGAGTGTAGAGAGCAGCGAGTGATGGTACTGTGGCAGCGGTCGGCAAGCTTTCACCAAAATACAGAAATCGAGCATCATCTGCGGCTGTTAGTCGCCCTAAAGTGAAATTTCGTACTGGCAAGCCAAGTGATGATACGTTTGGGACAGCGGATAGCGACGCTCCGTTTGCAGCTTGCAAGCCAAACCGACTTTCAAACGCTGAGATTCGCGAGGCAGGTGTCGAAATCGAGCTGCTGCGTGTGTCAGCTGCACGTAATTCGGGATCGGCTGATGAGCAGAGTTCTGGAGCAGAAGCAATCCATGATGCAGGCTCCAGGGTCACGTTCTGCACGAAACCGGTTAGATGCTGTTGCTGTGGATGATGGCGATATGCAGCCATTCGTTGAACGGCTGGAATAAGTGAAATGCTTGACTGAGATGAGAGGTGCCTTTCATGCGCTTGCGAGATTCTCACGCCACCAATTTTGTTATAAAATGATTTCTTACAGGACCGCCTCTTCTAAGAAGCAGTCGAGAAAATAGTAAACGGCCGACATATACATCTTGCGCTTTAGCTATCTTTTTAAGAGAATCGCGATAGATAGCGAGATGGAAGGATGAAAGACGGAGGGACGGATATTACGGTACTCAAGTATATTTGCATAGTGAGCCAATCAGCATTCTTCACATCGAAGAGTCTGAAGTGAGAAAGTGGAAAACGAGAGGGTGAGGGAGGGAAAAAGAGGAAACGATTGAGTTACACGCTGGAAAGGGCCTCTCCTCGATGATGGAAACCCATTACGTCAATAAATTGGACCTCTGTATCATTTTACATTAATTAGATAAAAAATTTTCTTCACCAGTACTAGTTAGGCCTGCTACTCGGGACCGATTTTGGGTTTTTTAACAAGTGTGCAGCTTGCGTGGGCTCCTTTAATAGCTAATTAACTCGACAATTCAACATTGCCTGTAGCCTGAAACAGTAAATTTCTTGTTTAAAAAAAGAAACCAATTAATCGCTCACATTTTTATGACAAAGAGAGTTTTGATAAAATCCTTTAAATAATGATTATGTGGATCTTCTATATCTTTATAGGACAAATTTCCTTGTCGGCTAAATTAAGCATGTTCAGGGAAAATATTTTTGGCTGTTTCGAGCGAAAATTGGACTAAGAGACGCAAAAATGGACTGGAAGGAATAGAGGAACGAAGAATTAATAATTTCAAAAGCGCATTTAAGCCAAAAGAGGGAAAGAGCAACTTTTTCAAAAACCAAAAAATTTGCATACTCTTTTAAGCGGGAGTTTGATGAGTACTGTGT